GCTCGCGCTCATCTATCGGCAGGGAGTTGCGAATAGCAAAGCGAGCGTGGGCGTCACGAGTCTGCCACTATGAGCGGGCAGTGCTGTCAGCAGTAGCAGCAGGGGCAGCAGCATGCCTAAGGCGTGATCGTACAGGGAGATATCCTCCTTGGCAGTGAGCTGTAGGAATAGGTGCAGGTCATCGAGCCAGGTGTCAAACTTCACTGGGCGGCCCTCAGCATCGAAAGCAAGTACAGGAGGGCTAGCCATAGTCACAGTAGGAGCAGTAGCAGTAGGAGCAGCAGGAACAGCAGTAATGTCAGTAGTAGTGACAGAAGTAGGGGCGCGGCTCGGTAGGCGGCGCGGCTCGGTAGGGCGGCGCGGCTCGGGAGGGCGGCGCGGTTCGGTAGGGCGGCGCGGCTCGGGCCGGGTGACGCGGTTCGGTGGGGCGGCTCGGCTCGGCTAGGCAGCGGCTACTCGAGGTGGGGCACGCGAGGGCGTGCAGGGCAGAGCGGGGCCGGTCCGCACGGGGCACGAGGTGGCGAGCTAGCGAGGGCGGGGCCTGGTCGCACGGGGCACGCAAGGGCGGGCTGGTGGGGCGGGGCCGGATCGCACTAGGCACGCAGGGGCGGGCTAGTTGGGCGGGGCCGGTACGTGAGGGGCACGCAAGGGCGTGCGGGTGGGTGTGGGCCGGTCGTACGAGGCACGCAAGGGCGCGCGCTAAGGGGCGGGGCCGGTCCGTAAGGGGCGCGCAAGGGCGCGCGGGGCAGCGAGCGCGCGGGGCCGCACGGGGCACGTAAGGGCGCGCGGGGCAGACGACGCGCGGGGTGCCGCGCGGGTCGCACGCTAGGGCGTACGAGGTGGGCGGGGCCGATCGCACGGGGCACGCTAGGGCGTGCGGGCTAGGCGGGGCAGATCGCGAGAGGCACGCTAGGGGCGCGCGAGAGTGAGGGAGAGAGAGGAGGGCGCTCGAGGGCGCGACTAGGCGAGGCGCGCTAGGGCGCGACTAGGCAAAAACGGAGGGCCCATCGTTCGGTCCTGGGTAACGACCTAGGCTCGTAATACTATGTGAGAAACTAAGAGAGAACGAGGATGGATGAACTAGCAGAAAGTTGGGTACAAGTACGAAACCCTAAGTTTATTGTACTCTCTATGACTAAACCCACTATAGCCTACACAAGATAAACATATAATGTTTGACACTCCCCCACTTTGCCTATGGGGGTGTGTCAAACATTCATACTATAGTCTTGCTAGGCTGTAGTGGGGTAGATACTATGGGGTACTGTTTCCTAGGGTTTCATATTTGTACCCAACTCATTTCTAGTCATCATCATTCCTCGTAATTCTTTTCACAAATTCCTTACACCACCCCCCCCCCCCCTCAACAAGCCCCCTCCGCTACGCGAGTGCGTGTATATCGCGGAAACCCCGGCTCCTCAGGTACACTTGCAGGGCAGGGTGGTTTTCGATGTTGGCCAGGCGCACCCAGCTATCTTCAGTTGGCGTGCGCTCCTTCCAGCGAACGAGGAATTCAATCCTCTTGATTCCCCTGGGGTGTCGAATCCGATGGCTTAGGATTTTTTCGGGTTCGATGATCGGTTCCGATGTAGGGCGAGTCATGGATGGCGGGCGGTGACGAGGCAGTTGGCTTGTGGTTGGGATGTATGGGCGAAGCAGGCTGACGTGGAACGAAGGGCTGATGTACCACTCTGTCGGCAACAGTAAGTGGGCTGTCACTGGGGTAATCATGTGGCTGATTTGGAATGGTCAACAGTGGCGGGGTCGTAATTTCGTTACGATGGGCAGTCATAAATTCTGTGTGTCGAGCAGTACGTATTCTCCTGACTGGTACGTGACTGGGCGGCGGTGGCGGTCAGTGTTGCGCTTAGCGATGACATTTGTTTTTTTAATTGCTTCTGCGGCTCTGGTGTGGGCAGCTTGCAGAATTTCGGCGAATTGCTGCGCAAGTGGTGTGGGGTTGTCCGGACTCGGCGTCATGGGCACTGTAGGATTTTGCCCATAGTTCAGGTAGAAAGGGGACTGCTGCGTCATCGCTGACGTGGCGTTGTTATACGCGAACTCGATCAGCGGCAGCTGCTGCTCCCAAGTGGTCGGGTCGTCGCACGTGGCACGAATCAACTGCTCTATCGTCTGATTCGTCCGCTCCGTTTGACCGTCGGTCTCGGGGTGGTACGACGAGCTGAACTGTAGCCTTGTCCCGAACTGCTCCCAGAGGTTTTTCCAGAAGTTGCTGGTGAACTTCGTGTCGCGGTCGCTGATTATCGCGGCTGGTATCCCGTGTTGTCAAACGACGGCTGCGATGAACAGGCGAGCGGTTTCTTCGGCTGAGATCGATTTCTTGCACGCAGCGAAGTGTGCCATCTTCGTCAACCTGTCAACGACGACCATAACTGCGTCGTTACCCCCAGGGTTCGAAGGTAACCTTGTGACGAAATCCATGGTAACCTGCTGCCAGGCGCGCTCAGGCGGTGGAATCGGCTGCAACTGACCCGCCTTTCTTTTTCGCGAGCTCTTCATCACCTGACACGTAGGACACGAGCCCACGTGGTGCTGTACGTCGGTCAACAGCTCCGGCCAGTAGTAATACCGCTGCAGTTGCTGTCGCGTTTTTTCTACCCCGAAATGTCCCGAGGTAATCACGTCGTGTGCCTCCTGCAGTACCAGTTCCCTCAGTAGTGAGTACGCGGGTACCCAGATGCGGTTGGTGCCTGTTTTTACGTAATAGACTCCTCTGGCCTCTGCCAGTTGCTGTGAGTTTCCGGTCGTGAAAAATGGGTCGGTACTATATCCGTGGGTGAATAGGCCTGTTAACAGTGGGTTGGTTTGGGCGAGTAGGATGGCGTGGAGTTGGGCGGTGGGGCGTGTGAGTGCGTCAGCGATGTTGGATGCGCCTTTTTTGTACGTGACCGTGTAGTGGAAGTTGGACTCCAGATAGTCCAACCAGCGGATCTGTCGTGGGTTGAGATTCGGTTGGGCGCGGAGGTACTGTAGTGATCGGTGGTCTGTCCGTACTGTCACGTCTGCTCCCGTGAGGTAACATCGCCACACCTTGAACGCGTGCACGATCGCCAGCATCTCGCGGTCGTGTATCGGGTAGTTGCGTTCGGGCGGGTGAAGCTTGCGGGACTCATACGCGATTGGCTGAAGGCCGTTCCCGAAGTCCTGCAACAGTACTGCTCCCACAGCGATGTCGCTAGCGTCGGTGACGAGTTCGAACGGGCGGTGCGGATCTGCGATGTGAAGCACGGGCGGCGAGCACAAAATATTTTTGAGGGTCAAGAAGGCAGCTTGCTCTTTCTCCCCCCACGTGTACTCAACCCCCTTCCTCAGCAGGTCAGTCAACGGGGCAGTCAGCTTCGCCATGTCGGGGACGAACCGGCGCACGTAGTTGACGAACCCCAGAAAACTCTGCAACTCGGTCAAGTTGGTCGGCGCGTGCCACGCTTGAATCGTCGCGATCTTCTTCGGGTCTATTTCCACTCCTGCAGCTGAAATGATGTGTCCCAAAAATTCCAGTCGGTCCTGTAAAAACTCACACTTAAGATACCATTACAATTACCATAACCATTACCACTACCACTACCATTACCATTACTCACACTTACAGGACATCGAAGCAACACCTTGTGCACAGCAATTTGCCGAAATTCTGCAAGCTGCCCGCACCAGAGCCACTGAAGCAATTAAAAAAGCCAATGTCATCGCTAAGCGCAATGCTGACCGCCACCGCCGCCCCGTCACGTACCAGTCAGGAGACTACGTACTGCTCGACACACCGAATTTAAGACTGCCCGTCGTACCAAAATTGCGACCCCGCTACTATGGATCATTCCAGATCAGCCACATGATTACCCCAGTGACAGCCCACCTACTGTTGCCGACGGACTGGTACATCAGCCCTTCATTCCACGTCAGCCTGCTTCGCCCATACGTCCCAACCACAAGCCAACTGCCTCGTCACCGCCCACCATCCATGACTCGCCCTGCATCAGAGCCGACCATCGAGCCCGAAAAAATCCTGAGCCATCGGATTCGACACCCCACGGGAATCAGGAGGGTTGAATTCCTCGTTCGCTGGAAGGATCGCACGCCAACTGAAGATAGCTGGGTGCCCCTGGCCAACATTGAAAACCACTTTGCCCTGCAAATGTACCTTGGGAGCCGGGGTTTCTGCGATATACACGCACTCGCGTAGCGGATGGGGCTTCTTGAGGGGGGGGGGGGGGTAGTGTAAGGAATTTTCTCGATATTCCTTAGCGCACCCTGCAACACTGCGTACAGCAGCAGCCGTTGTTCGCCCGTTACTGCTAACGGGGCTTCGCCGACTTCGCGCGCACTGTTTCACCAAACCTCGCACTGCTGGCCTGGCCATGTCGGCCTACGCTTCGGGACTAGCCCGAGCCTCGCTTCCAGCATAGCACTAGCTAGCTCGCACGCACCGCGTTTACCGTTTGTATGTTTCGCGTATACATGTTCACTCATGCCTTTGCTCACATTTTGTACTCGTTGACACCTTAGTGCAATTCTCGTTACTTCGATTCATTGCACCCGTAACAATCAGTCGCGTGGGACAACTATCCACTTCATTTAAAGACAGGTACCATACAACAGATCAGCAAATACCTAACTAGGGGGGTGATACGGCATCTCTATGATAGGGGCTCTAAATTGCGTTCATGCATGTCAACGCCGGCTTAACTTTATTCCCCTGCACCCATTCGGCATGCAACTTTACTCAATACATATACACTTGTGTACTACAGCAGAAAACGGATCCATCCACCATATCACAACACAACAGCAGCCTGCAGAAGAGCCGCAGCCTGCCTCCTCACTTTCCTCTGCCTCTCTGCCTGTGCCTTCATAGTCCCTACCCCACCGCCCCCACTGCCATGCCATGTACCCACTCGGAGCAACAAGCAGCACCACAAGATTCCAACAACCACCTCCTTACCCTGCTCCACCGCACCACCCCCCTCACCACCCCACCGCACACCTCACTTCTCCCCTCGTCTCCGCCGCTTCTTCTCCACCTTCTTCAACCGCTTGCTCACCGCCTCAACAGCCGCCGTGAACCCCACCGGCGCCAGCGGCGGCGCCACAGCCGCCTTGGCAGCCTCCTCGTCCTGCTTCAATCTCACAATCTCCTGCACGATCTGCTGGTCCGGGGGTGCTATCCGCGACTCCACCCCGCGGAACACAAAGTACGGCAGCACGGCCATCACTGGTAGCAGCAGGAGCCCGGTGAGCCAGTAGAGCGCGCTCGGAGCGAGCACCTCGGAGAAAATGTAGTAATAATCCGTGGACCAATCTGGGCCGAAATACGAGTACACCCCGAGAAAGAGGTACCAGACGCCGATGCTACCCCAGATGAAGAGGTGCGTGATCCAGGTCCAGTGCTCCGTTATGAGTGCGATCTGGAAATTCACTGCCACCACCACGCCCGTCATGAGAGTCGCGCTGAGCCCGTTCATTTCAAAGAGCTTGCCGGAGGGGAGGGACGCCTGGGGCAGCACGGCGGCGAGGCAGGACCAGAAAAGGAGGACGGACTGGGCGAAGCCGTAGAATATCCACATGGCGATGGTGGTCCAGTGGAAAAAACACGTTCTTGGGTCCCTGCTGGTACAGCGCTGGGAACTGGCAGGGGAGGGGGGAGTTGGGCAGAGGGGGACGTGGAGGACATGTGGGTGTGTGAGTGCGACGGGCAGCACAAGGGTGAGGCAGGTCCAGAAGGAGAGCACGGACTAGGCGAAGCCGTAGCTTCGCCGTAGCTAATCCACATGGCAATGGTGGTCCAGCCGAAGAACACGCTCTTGGGACCCTGCTGGTACAGGGCAGGCAACTGGCGGGGGAAGGGGGGCACGCAGGAGGAAGTGGAGGGAAATGCAGGGCGTGAGTGTGACAGGCAGCATGGAGGCGATGAGAGAGTGACTGTGAGGCGACTCACACCTCACCATGAGCACCTGTTCGACCCACATGGCCCCACACAGCTCCACCCCGCCCCATACCGCCCCACACAGCCTTCACTCACCATGAGCAGCTGTTTGTCGGAGAGGTCCTGCTCCAGCACACCGTAGCCGATGACGGGCAGCGAGGTGAAGAAGACGTTGTAGAGCGAGCACGCCCAGCTGTTGTACACGATCTGCCCGGAAAACACCGCGTACGCGTTGTAATAGAAGATGGTGAGGCCGAACGCCACGTTCTTGTAGAAAAAGTATGTGACCTGCAGGGGAGTGAGGATGGGGAGATGATGGGGAGATGATGGGGAGATGGGAGGCGAGGTGGGCTAACTGAGTGCACACTACAATGGGAGCAGGGAGTGCGAAAGCAGGCCGCGTTGCAGTAGAATATGGTCCGGCCGAAGGCCACGTTCCTGTAGAAGACAAAGGTGACCTGCAGTGTGGTGAGCAGAGATGGGGGAAATGGGGATGAGGAAAACGGGGAGATGGGGGTGATGAGACGAGGAGCTGCACTAGTTGAGTGCACTAAGAGAGCAGGGAGTGCAGAACAAGCTTGCGATGTCGAGCTTATTGAGATTCTGAAATTGTCATATAAAGGACAGGAAAGCGGATGCACCCATAAACGATGAAGAATGCGGAAGGGCGGTGGGTAGCAAGGGACATGGCACGAATGGTTTAGGGGGCGCTGAGAAGGAGGGTGGAGGAGGAGGAGCAACAGATTCAGAAAGTGACAAAAGAGGGTGGAGGGTATGAGGGGGAGCGGGGAAGGGCAGGGCGGCAAGGCAGGGCAGGGCACTCACGGCGTTGGCGATGCGCTTGTAACTCCAGTGGCCGTGCACGAGCAACAGTCGCTCCAGGTACTTGAACTGTGCTATGGCAAAGTCACTCGCCATCACCGCCTGCCATGGGGGGGAGGGAGAGGGGAGGGTGGCGGGGGGGTTGTGAGGGGGCAGGAGAGCGGGGAGAGGGCAGGGAGGAAGGGCAAGTACGAGCAGCAGTCGCTCCAGGTATTTGAACTGTGCTATTGCAAGGTCCCTCGCAATCACCGCCTGCCAGAGGGAGAGATGAGCGGGAGTAGGTGGCGTGAAGAGGGGAGGGTGGTTGAGTGACTGGGGAGGAGGAGCAGAGGCACGGTTGCAGATGTGGGGTGGGGGAACGGGCCATGGTGGTAGAGCAGTGCGGAACTATGGATGCTCGCCCTCTCCCTCACCTGCTTGCTTTCTCTTGCACCCTCTCTCTCACGTGCTGCCCCTCCCTCTCACCTGCTGTCCCTCAACGCCGCTGATGCCAACACCAATGTCCGCCTCATGAATCATGCCCACATCGTTCGCCCCATCCCCAATGCCCAGTGTCGTGCGCCCCGTACCGTCCTTCACCAGCCGCGTCACCTGCACACCATGGCATGGCGTGAAGTAGCACCACATGGCATGAGATGGTGTGGCGTGGCATCGCGTGGCATGGCACGGCATGGCATGATATGGCAAGCCATGGCATGATATGGCAAGCCATGGCATGATATGGCGAGGTATGGTATGACATGGCCCGAGTGAAGCAAAATGGAATGGTTTGACACATGGGGGATGAACCTGGCATGGGAACATGGCATCAGCTTCTATCTCTGCACCACCTCTCCGTCCTCCCACCACTCGCCTCCTGCTTGTGCTTCCCATGCAAACCCCCCCTTCCTCACCAGTGCCTTTCGCTTGGGCGACACGCGGCAGCACACGACAGATGCACACTGCATGGCGAGCCCCCGCAGTGCCGCCCTCAGTTCCGGCTCCAATGCAAGCACCCGTGCTGACCCCTCCTCCCCCTTCCCCTACTCACCAGAGCTTTCTGTTTGGGCGACATGCGGCAGCACACCATGGACGCGGTAGCACAGCATGGACGCACACTGCATGGCGAGCGCCAGCATCTCCCCCACCCACCCACCCCACAACCAACCCCCTTACTCACCAGCACCAACACCCACCCTCCTCCCTTGTGTGCTCACCAATGCCTTCTGTTTAGGCGACACTCGGCAGCACACCACACAGGCACACTGCATGGTAAGTGCCAGCAGCGCCGCCCTCAACTCTGGCTCCAATGCAAACGCCAGAGACTTGCCGTCTATCACCAGCGCAAACACCCACTCTCCCCCTTTGTGTGCTTACTTACCAGTGCCTTTTGCTTGGGCGACACTCGGCAGCACACCACGGACGCGCACTGCATAGCGAGCGCCAGCAGCGCCGCCCTCAGTTCTGGCTCCAACGCAAACGCCAGCGATTTGCCGTCTATCACCAGCGCAAACACTCGCGCCGGCCCCTCTCCCTCGTCGTCGCCATCCCCGTCACCCTCTCCCCCGTCGCCATTGCCATTGCTGATAGAGTCCCCACCATTGGCATTCCCCCCTGCAGCAGGAGCGCCCCCTTCTCGGGCACGGTCGATGAGAGCAGCGCCGTCGTGTAACAGACGCTTCACCCTGTCCCTGCACACCTGTGAAAGGAGAAAGGGTCCGGGAAGGGGGCACGGGGTAGGGAAAAAGAAAGAGGGAATGGGGAAGGGAAAACGGGGAAGCGGAGGCAAGGCACGGCAAGGGTGGGGTGGGTTGGGGTGGGGTGGGGTGGGGTGTATGAGCGAGCGCGGGTGCCTCAGCACCATTGCTTCCTATCCTCCACTCCACTCACGAGTGAAGCCTGGATGGGAGAGGAAGGCATGAGACTGAGAACATATGCATTTTCACCATATCAGACAGAACTGAACTACACCACTACACCAGAAGCACTGCACCTTTCCCTTTCCACACTCCCAATGATCAACGGCCACGAATGTGCGTGCCCCTTGCACGTGGAACAGGACATTGACCTGGCCTCTGTCCTGGCGTGCTCCAGTGTAACGAGTCATCAGCACATTCAGCACAGGAAAGGCACAGGCAGAGCCACAGGCACACATCTGGACAGCACAGCAGGTAAACTTGAAGCTACCCGTGCTACACACAGCAGGAAGCTTCTCTTTGCCTCCAGCGTACAGCACAGCGCAGCGCAGTCACAGAACAACACAGCACAGCACAGCGCAGTCACAGCACAGCACAGCACAGCACAGCACAGCACAGCACAGCACAGCACAGCACAGCACAGCAGTGAACATCACCACATGCTACTCACAGCAGCGAGTTTTTCCTTGTCCCCAGTGTCCTCGAGCTTGCGAATGTCAGGCGAGTCGAGCGACACCACGATCTGCTTCATGTCGTCCCGCAGCAACGAGCACGCGAAGCTGATAACAGGGGGGATTACAGGGGAGGGATGAGCGGGGGAGAATGGGGGAGGTAAGGTACGGTGGAGAGAATGTAGGGTGAGTGGAGCGACACCACAATCTGTTTCATGTCGTCCCGCAGCAACGAGCATGCGAAACTGCAAAACGAGGAAGACATGTGACGTGGGATTGGGGAGTGGGGAGTAGGGGAAAAGTCCCCTTTCATCTCCCTGCTACCCGTTTCAACACCCTACTACCCGTTTCATGTCCCTGCTACCCGTTTCATCTCTCTGCTACCCGTTTCATCTCCCTGCTACCAGTGTCATCTCACCCGATGTTGATGGCCGTCTCCAGCTTGTCTCCTGTGAGCACCCAGATCTTGATGCCCGCCTGTGCCAGCCGGTCTATTGCCTCCGGTACCTGCGGGGGGGAAAGGGGGCGGGGGGGGGCGGGGGGGGGGGGGGGGGGGCAGGGGGGGGGAGCAAGGGGGAGAACAGGGGGGACAGCGGGAGAGGAGGGGGGAGCAAGAGGTGAGCACCCAGATCTTGATGCCTGCCTGTGTCAGCCGGTCAATTGCCTCCCGTACCTGAGGAGGGGAATGTGAGAAGAGAACACCCAGATCTCAAGGGTGCAGGGTGCGAGGTAAGTAAGATGGGGGGTGAGTAAGGGGGGGAATGAACAGAGCAGACTGGAGGATGAGCAGAGTGGTGGGGGAGCAGGCCGAGGGGGTGGGGGAAAGGGGGGAAGGGACGAACAAGGGGGACGAGCAGGGTGCGGGGGGGAGGGATGAGGGGCACAAGGTGGCTTGAGGGGAGCGACGCTCCTGTGAGTAGTAAGTACCTCTGGTGAACTCAGGGGTGGAAGCAGATTCTGTGATATGTGCATCCCCGTGTCCGTGTTCATGTGTTGGTCACCCCAAGAGTGGTGATGTCACTGGTGGGGTCGGCGATTGAAAAGAGTCACGTGCCATACCGCGACTCAATTCTTACACACCTCCTCCAGGTGAGCGCCCTTGCCGTGAGAATTGACGGCGCCCTAAACCTCCCTTAACCAACCTGCTTCTGTGTCAAACTTCCTTCTCCCTTCCCACCCACACCCTTCCCAACCCCACCCAACTCACCCCTTGCTGAAGCTTATCCTCCACAGCAGTGGCCCCCAGCAGCGTCAGCCCCTGTTCAATCTCCTCCGCAGCAGCATCCACCAGCGCCTCCCTCTCCGCACTCAGACTCCTCCGCGCCCCTTCAAACCGCTCCAGCCACTCCCCGCACTCCTCCTCACTCAACTCCCTGTACGCCAGCGCCAGCGTCCGCAGCCCTGCCTCACCGTACCGGTGCAGCGTGGCCCGGGTAGCTTCCAAATGCTGCCGCCCGGTGGGCGCTAGGCGCTCGTATATGACGGAGTCGGCGCCCTTGGTCATGAGGAGGATGCGGTTGGAGGGGTCTCGGACCACCACTGACATGCGCTTGCGGGTGGAGTTGAACTCTATCAGTGCCAGGATCGTGTACTCCCTGTTGGATGTGAATGGGTACAACAATCCGCAATGAGCGGTCACTGCCAGGATCGCATATTCTCTCCCAGTCCCATGAGGGGGAAGGATGATGAGGAGAGGGATGATGAGGGGAGGGATGATGAGGGGAGGGATGATGAGGGGAGAGATGATGAGGGGAGGGATGACTCCCCTCCTCACCCGTCCACGTTGCTTTTCCCTTCTCACCCCTGCACGCTGCTCCACCCCCCCTCACCTGTCAACAGTGTTCTGCCCTGTCTCGTCCGGCTCGCGCACCCAAACGGTCGTCTGCGTGCGCTTGAAGAACGCCACGCCCATCTGCCGCGCCGCCTCCACGAACGCCGCCTCGTCCGGCGACTCCGCCTCGTACTCCACCTGCCCGGAAGCTTCGTCCACCTCGGGAATGACGGTGTGGCACACGGCCAGCACGCGCAGGAACGCGCGGATCTCCTCGCGGTGCGGCTCGCGCAGCCACGCGCCGTCCAGGAGCCTATTATCCCGCAGCGCGAACCCCTTAACCCCCGGCTTCGCCGTCCCGTTCGCCGCCGCCTCCGCCGCGGCGCGCTCCTCCTCCTCGTCGTAATCCTCCAGCTCGCTCAGATCGCGCCCGAGCCGCCGCGCCGTGGCGCGCTCGACCTCGGTAATCCCGCGGCCGTACGCGACGCCGGCAATGGAGCACTTGAGGAAATCCATCTGGTTACACGTCAGCGTGCCCGTTTTGTCGCTTAGCACCGTATCCACTTGCCCTAGCTCCTCGTTCAAATTACTCGTGCGCGCGCGCGCCGGCATGTCCGTTTCCGCGAAGTACATCCCGCGATCGGCGCTAATGAACCACGCCTGGAAGATCTTAACGATCTCGATCGACACGTATAGCGAAATAGGGATGAGGTAACCGTACAGGATGATCGCCGTCAGGCACTGCAGCACGGACGACGTGGCGGGTTTCGCGGGGTCATAGTACGCGTTAGTGTCGGTCGGCGCGAGGTACCACCAGGACGGCATCTGATTCTTGGTGCGTATGCCGAAAATGATACTCCCCACGATCGCCATCAGCAGCAGGCAGGCGAAGAGGAAGTAGATGATCTTATCCATGCGCCGTTCGATCGAGCTGCGCTTCGACGGCGCCGCGGTCGAGTTCATCATGACTTTGCTGTCGTGGCCGGTAAAAATAACCACCCCTACCACCCACGCCGTGTTGCGCAGCTTCGAGTCGCGCAGCAGCACCTGCGCCGCGGTCAGCGACGTCGCCTCGCCGTCCCACTCTAGATTCCCTACAAACGTGTACAAACTCGGGTTCGGGTCCTCGCACTTAATCTCCGCCGTGAATTTCGCCAGCGCCTCGGGGTCCTCGAGCGGCAGCGTGCGCTCGAGCGCCTTACGCAGTTTAAGATTCGTCTCGCCGTCCAGATTCATTGTTTCGACGTAGCACACGCCGTCCGGGTAGCTGGAGGCGAGCATTAGGAGGTCGGCGGGGAAGAACTCGTCCTTGAGCACTTTAACTACGTCGCCCACGCGCACCGCCTTCCACTCGCACGGCTCGAACCGCCCCTCGCCCACATGGCGCAGAACCTTGCGCTTGTTCACCTCGTCGTCCTGGCGGACGGGGAAGGGGAAGGGGAAGGGGAAGGGGGAAGGGGAAGGGGGAAGGGGAAGGGGTAAAGAGGCGTGTGAGGGGCCTCAAAAGTCGCCCCTCCACGTGGCGCAGCACCTTGCGCTTGTTCACCTCGTCGACCTGGCGGACGTGGAGGGGGAAGGGGGAGGGGGAAAAAGAGAGGGGTGAGTGAGGGGTGAAGGGGGAGGGGGAGAGAAGGGGGAATTGAGGGATGGGTGGGGTAAAGTACTAGGGGGAAGTGGGAAGAAAAGGGTTACGGGGGAGGGGTGGGGTGGCTGGAGGACGAGGGTTGGGAGGAGGAACGGCGTGGGAGCTTGTGGAAAGACGCGAGAAGGGGGGAAGGGGGAGGGGCGAGGGGGGGGAAGGTGAGGTTACAAGAGGGGAAAGAGGGAGCTTGATTGCGTTGCGTCGGAAAGACCGTTAGCCCAACAACCATTTCACCCTCCATTCTGGTTCCAACCGCTCCTCGAACCCCCTAGCTCATTGCGATGTTCCTGAAAGACATCCGTTACAATCACATCCGTGACTGTGACCAGAACTCACGGCAAGATATCGGCGCCAGTCTTCGATGGCCTCTTTGATCATGCTCACGCCCACCACCAGCACGAGCGGCGCGATCAGACTGTACGGCGCGTACGGCGTTAACGGCGTGAGCGCGAGGATGGCGCAGAGCAGGAAGTAGAGATTGGCGACGCGGCGGAACTGCTCGAATAGCGCCTTGGGGAGGAAGGACAGTATCGAGTATTTAGTGGTGGAAATTGAGTTGTTACAATAACGAAGCGGACTGCCTTTCTCCACGTGGTGATGCGGCTCGTTGCAGTACACGTGGCGCTGAAAGCCCTTCTCTCCGACCAGCTCGCTCTCGTCTGCGCGGGGCCGGATGCACCCCGCGTATGAGAGGAGCCGCGAGAGGCGCACGCGCGACTTGGATTTAGACGTCGACGACATGATGACTAATCGTTACTGTTGTTTAAGAATATTCAAGCAGAATAATGAACAATGAAGGTATTCTTGCTAGCAACGGACGCGGTGCGACCTAATTCCTATGCGGGCTAGTCCGTTCGCCTCTGACCTAACCCAAGCAGCTGCTGTTGGCTAACTAAGTTTACCACTCTAAATGCATTTCCTTGCGCTCATTGCACTGCAGGCTGCGTGACGATCAGCAGTAAGTGACCGGAGCCTCACACGGACTCGCGAGACAGCCACATCCATTGACTCTTATTCCAACTATTCCAAATATTCCAGCAATATTGCGGCTGCATCGAGGCTCTCGTCTCGACTCGAATGGTTTGACGGCAGCACAGCGTGTGACTCATCTATGCGTGCTCTACCCGACACGTTGCCTAACGCACTTCCATGGCGCTCTGGTTGCACTGAAACGTGGGGAAGGGGGGAGGGGTGGGTAACATTACAGGGAGTGCTGCGCAAGGAGATGGCGCAGCGCAGTGAGGGGACCAATGCGCTCGAGGGCGGAGAAAATGCTCACCGAGGGGAGGGGAGGGGAGGGGAGGGGAGGGGAGGGGAGGGGAGGGGAGGGGAGAAGGGGGAGGAGCGGAGGGGAAAGGAGTGGGAGGAGATGGGGGAGGGGGATGCGGCTATTTCTCAATCGGGCATTCTATGGCGAGGCGACGATCATAATGAATTGTTGTAGAATTGTTGCACTACCGGTACCAAGGTTGCATCCAGTGGTTCAGTTCAGATGTGCGTCGCCCTTTCCCAGCGGCTTTGCTGCGAGGAGGCGACAAGATGATGTCACCACTCTGTAACGTTTTGAACCATATTACAGGTAATCAGAACCACGTCTGTAGCGTGGACTTTGGCGGATGGCGGACACATGAGCGGAACGATTTGACTGAAAGCGGAGCGCCATAGAAAATGCAGGGGCGTCTTGGTGTAGTAGTGTCCTCGGGCGCAGATTCTTCCCGCCGAAAAAACAGTGCCCCGCACACGTCGCCCTCACTCTGGTGATGCGCTGCCGCAGGACTGAACAGCACCGTTCTGTGGTGTTGCCAAGCCGGCTTGCAGCGGGGATGTGCTCGAGGAGGGTGTGGCGGGGGCGACCAACTTACCTTCCCCCCAATCCCAAGGAGGCATCCCTCCACTGGAAAATGGCGTCGTGCAGAGCACGTGGGGGTCACTGAGTGGCTGCGAAAGTCTGCACCGCACGGATTTGTGGCCTTTCAAGGCCGCGAGACCCTTCACGAAGCGAAACATGTAACAAGTGCAAATCAAATTGTGTAGCAACCTCATAAAGTTGGTTTCACATTTAATAACAGTGCTTTGAAGCCACTGCTGATTTTAAAGCCTGAAGTCAGCACTGGTTCATCGCGCAACACTTTTACATTAAAGTCTGTGTCTTATCACCTGCGTGGAGCATTAAGCCTGAATAGAAGAGGTTAGCCTGATAACAGGCCGTAGGAACACGCCATGAATGGATTCTCAAGTTATCATAGCAGGCTGTGCTGCGGCTTCCCCTCATGTCTCTACGAGGGGCACACCTGCAGCAGCAGCGTTGCCTTGCTCGCTCTGTGAGCCCTGTTGGTGCGGCGTGACGTTGGCTCGAATCCACGCCAGCGTGGCATCGATGGCATTCTGGTCACAGTAAATCCTGTGAAACACACATCGGGCGGGTGAGGGGGGGGGGGGGGGGGGGGGGGGGGCAGGACAGCACGGTAAGCTGTATGGACGGCTGGTCTGACACTGCCTGCTCGGCATGGTGCACACCACCCATGCACTGGTGGACAAATGAGAGCAAGCGAGGAAAGAGGAGAGCAGGCGAAAACTGAAGAGAGCAGGTGAGGACAGTGCAGTGCAGGCACGAGCGCAAGAGAGGGTGGAAGATGCAGAGAGCATGCGAGGGGGGGGTGAGAGAGAGTCGTGAGTCGTACTCCAGCTGTGCCCGATACCCCTTCAGCGCCCGCTCCTCCTCCTTGCTCCCCCTGCGATGCTCTCGCCTCACCGCCTTTTCCCACGCCCCCCCACTGCCCCCTCCTCCAACACCACCCTGCCCCCCTTCCCTCTCTGCCCCAAATCTTCCTTCCCCACCCCCCTGCTCCACTCCATCCCCCTGCCCTTCCCCACCTGCCTGCACCTCCCCACCCGCCTGCCCCTCCCCACCCGTCGACCCATCAAAGTCGCGCAGCACCATCTCCACCAGCTCGTCCTGGGGCGGGCAGAGGGGAGGGGGAACATGGAGGGCAGGGGGGAGGGGGAACATGGAGGGCAGGGGGGAGGGGGAACATGGAGGGCAGGGGGGAGGGGGAACATGGAGGGCAGGGGGGAGGGGGAACATGGAGGGCAGGGGGGAGGGGGAACATGGAGGGCAGGGGGGAGGGGGAACATGGAGCGGTGGAATCGAGTGAGCAACTGCACACGAGTACAGCAGCTCACATGGGCGAGGTGAGAAGCAGGCAGCAGTAAGTGCGTTGACACACATCAACACACGGCTGCTTCACGCACCTCTGCGACTTCACGCACTTCTATTGTTTGACACTGCCTCACCAGGGGGGCGATTCCTCTCACCAGGGGGGTGTGAGCGGGCAGCCATTGGAAGAGTGGTTGGGAGCGGAACCACGTGGTCTGGCGCTTGGCGTAGCGCCGCGACGCCTGCTGAAACTCCAAGATAAACGCCAACAGCGCCGCCTGCAGCGCCTCCTGCAACGCCACTTCCACCGGTTGCTCTTCCACCCGTTGCTCTTCCACCCGTTGCTCTTCCACCCGTTGCTCTTGCTCCTCAGTGGTCCTCGCTTGCCCCATGAGGCGCTGGCAGTGCAGCAGGAAGGCCATGGCCTGGCGGTAGCCGATGGCGCGTGTGGGTGAGGAGGAGTCGGGGTGCAGCCCCGCTCGCAGCAGCGCCAGACTCTCCTCCAGCAGCCCGCCTGCCGACCGGCCACACGGAGAGAGCGCACGGGGCGATGGGGCATGCAGAGGAAGACAAGAGATGGATGCATGGGGATTCGGGGTGCAGCCCCGCCCGCAGCAGCGCCACACTCTCCTCCAGCAGCCCGCCTGCCAACCGCATGGGAGGAGAGAGCACAGGAGAGGGCACGGGAGGATGTGGCATGTGGGCGAGGAGGAGTCGGGGGTCAGCCCCGCCCGCAGCAGCGCCAGACTCTCCTCCAGCAGCCGGCCTACCGACCGGCCACACGGAGAGAGCGCACGGGGCGATGGGGCATGCAGAGGAAGACAAGAGATGGATGCATGAGGATTCGGGGTGCAGCCCCGCCCGCAGCAGCGCCACACTCTCCTCCAGCAGCCCGCCTGCCCGCTGCACGGGCGGAGAGAGCGCGAGAGAGGGCATAGGACGATGGGGCATGAAGAGGAAGGCAAGAGATGGATGCATGAGGGCGAGGGCGCGGGAGCCGTGGGTTGGTGAAAGGAGTGTGGACTCAAGTGGTGTAGGTGAGGGCAATGGTGAAAGGAGGGTGCAGCGGACTGGAGTCACCACGTACGAGCATTTGCTCGGTAGAATCTCAAAGGCCATAAGTCCTTCCACCTAGCAAGCAAGCAGCAAGGCTCGCCTCACCTTGCACCATCTCTTCGCAGCGTCGATCTATACGGCGGTACAGGGGCAGGCGAGGGGCGTCCAGGAAGAAACAATGGAAGGCGAAAGGTGGAGGTGACGAGGCAGCGGCAGCAGCAGCAGCAGCAGCAGGCGGGGAGGTGTGTTTGGCCTCGTGGGAAGGCACGGTGATCTCTGATCGAGGCCGCCCCGTGGCCTGAGGGAGGGGAAACAGGCACACGCTTAGACAGGCTTGGAAAACAAAGCCGTGACGTGGAAAGGAGGGAACATGGTCTTGAAGGTGAAGAGGAGGGAAGGAGAGGACGGTGGCATGGGGGATTTAGAGTCGCTCACTGTCGCTGGATGCCGGACACTCTCCACGACTATGCTTTGAGCACTCCTGCCTCTTCACCACTCTTGCCCCCTCCACACGCACACAGTGCCCCTCACACGCACACACTGCCTCCCACACGCACACACTGCCTCCCACACGCACACACTGCCTCCCACACGCACACACTGCCTCCCACACGCACACATACCCTGAGAATCTCAAACGCCCTGGTCAGCCGGTACCAGTCATTCCGTGCCAGCTGGCCTGCTGTGATTGGGTCGCCCGCAGCAGCAAGGGCAGCCAGAGCGGCCTCCCAGTCGCCCTCCTCCGAATACCTCACACGCGGCTGCCTGCTCGCCCACCCCCGCTCCCTCGCCTCTCTCTCTCTCCCTGCTTCGCCCTGGCCCCCCATCTCCTCCTCCATTCCCCCCACACCCACACCATCGTTGCCCTCCTCGATCCTCCCGTCAGCACTCAACTCTTTCTCCAAGCCGCCCCTCACTGCGTCGGCTACTGACGCCCTTCCCGCTGCTGCATCCCCCTCACCCCCACCTACTGCCTCTTCTGCCCCACCAACCGCCGCTACGCTCCTCTCATCTCCCCTCTCATCCCCCCTCACATCCCCCCTCTCATCCCCCCTCTCATCCGCCCTCGTCCCCTCCCCCCTCCTCGCCCTCCTCGCCTGCATCACAGCGGCCTCGATCTCGCCCGCAACGGCGCGTTCCAGGTTGGGGCAGGAGGGGGGCGTGGCGGGGCGGCCGTGCAGCAGCCATGCGAGGTACAGCCCCGTGCCGCCCACCACCACCGGCACGCCCCCCCGCTGCACCACACCCTCCACGGCCGTGCACGCCGCCTCGTAAAAGTCGCCTGCTGTGAACTCTGGGGGGTGCAAAGGCGGGATGAAAGTGGGGAGGACGAGGGGGCATACTCCTGCTCACATGCTGCTGCTCACATGCTGCTGCTGATGCCCTGTCTGTCTCATGGTCATCATCAAGCTACCTCGCCTGGCTCCCTCCCTGCACGCCCCCTGCACCTTACTCGCACCCTGCACATTACTCGCACCCTGCACCTTACTCGCACCCTGCACCTTACTCGCACCCTGCACCTTACTCGCCCCCTGCACCTTACTCGCACCCTGCACCTTACTCGCACCCTGCACCTTACTCGCCCCCTGCACCTTACTCGCACCCTGCACGTTACTCGCACCCTGCACCTTACTCGCACCCTGCACCTTACTCGCACCCTGCACCTTACTCGCACCCTGCTCACCTTTCTTGCCTTTCTGCACGGCCCCGCCACCTCACCTCACCACGCCCCACTCACCTTGCCCCACCTCGCCACGCCCCACCTTGCCACGGCTCGCGGATATCCAGCAGGTGGTGTGGCACGCGGCGCTGTTCCTCAAGGGAGGCCTTGGCAGACCCCACGTCCAGCCCGCGGTACACCTGCACCGAGTCCGCACTCACCACCTCGCCGCCCCGCACCGCCTCCGCCACCGCCAGCGCCAGCCGCGACTTGCCCACTGCTGTGGGCCCCGATATCACAATCACCCGCCGCCCCTGCCCCTGCCCCTGCCCCTGCCCCTGCCCCTGCCCCTGCCCCTGCCCGTGCCCGTGGCCGTCGCCTCTCGCCTCCTCCCGTGGCCGCCCCGCTGCTGCCCCCCGATCTAGCTGCCCGCGGCCTCTGCGCGCGCTCGTCTCATCTTCGCATGCACCGGCTGCCAGGCCTTGCGCCACCACCCCCTCGCCCCTGCCCCCTTCGCTCCTCTCGCCCGCTTCGCTCTTCTCCCTCCCCTCCGTGCACCCTTGCTGCGCGTCCCCTCTCGTTCGTCCCTCCGCCTCACCCCCTCCCCGCTCGCGCAGACCGGCCAGTACCCCTGCCCCTGTACCCGCACCCCTCGCCATGCGCTCACCGCCCGCGCGGCTGGCAGTGGCAGTGGCAACCGCAGCTGCTGCAGCTGCAGCTGCAGGTGCAGGTGCAGGTGCAGGTGCAGGTGCTGGCGCAGGTGCTGGCGCGGCCCTCCCTCGAGCCCAAGTCACTCGCGCGCCTTCACCTTCTCTTCTCCGCGCGCCTGGCGCCGCCCCTCCTCGCTCGCACTCGTGCCCAACGCAGCGGCGCACGGAGTAACGACCGAGCCTGTTTGCAAGTGTACCGTTGAGCCAACTGTCAAGTCTATGCACGGAGTAACTGCCGAGCCTGATACCGAGCAGCATCCCCGTATTGACGAGGCGCGACGGCAGGAGCGCGACGAGAGGAAGGGCCCGCGGGGGCCTTTCAACGCGCGACGGGAGGGGCCCGAGGGGGACCTTCCTAAGTGCGGCGGGATGCACGGGGCGACGGGCGGCCTTAGGGGTGACGGGCTCCACGGGGGGGGACGGGCGGCCTAGGCGTGACTGGCAGCGGCGGCGACGGGCTAACGGGACCGCGTGGCGCCAAGGCTAGCGAGGGCGAAGGCGCTAACGGGGCGCAGGGCCACGGCGCATCGAGCGAGTCGTCTGCTCAAAAGCCACCTCGTTACAATGGCATACGACACAATTTTTCCAAGGAGAGCTTTTATCGCATGAAGGTCACCTAAAAGAGTTGGCGGTTATTTGATTTATGCTAGTAAGTGTTAGTATCTAGTAGTTTTAGCCCCTTTTACACTTCTGCTATCACTTCGTTTTTGCCAGTTGTCCCCAAACTCGCCGCAGAAAATATTTTCCACGCGGGTATTGTTATGATGTGAAAATAATTATGTAGGCATTCCTGTAGGCTCTATCGAGTACGAAGTCGACGGGTCAGAAGAGTCGAAGCGACACCAGCAACCGCCAGATGTGGATTGATGCAGGCAGAAACAATTGAAATGAAAAGAGCGAGAACAGGTTTGAAACGGGTTCTCGCGCCACACTGTTGGAAATCGTTGCAATAAGAATGTGTACAAAAAAATACCGTATGGCCCCGGATATGGACGCCGTCCTATTAAAGGTGCCGGCGCATATATCTGGAGCATGGCGCTTATGGCCGGTCCTCAATTATAAGCGCCCCCCCCTAGAAAACCTTTACTTATTATTGAGAAGAAACGAGGAATGAAAATGACTAAGGGAAAGTTGGGAACAAATACAAACCCTAGAAAACTGTACCCCATATGTGCTACCCCACTATAGCCTACAGTAGCTCTGTCATATAAATCTAACACACCCCCATAGGCAAAGTGGGGGAGAACAAGGGGTCACAAGACCAGTCAAGCAAAGCAAAGCAAGCTCAGGGTGGATCACAAAGTCACCACACATTCCGAGCACAAGTTCAAGGCCACAAGGCCAGTTCACATGCAGGATTACATATATATATAAGGCTAGACAAGCAAGAGCAGGTGTATATATATATGCAACAGTACAAACAAGGTCAAGGGGTGAGCAAGTGAGGCAAGGTAGGCACAAGGCCCAGCTGAGTACAGAAACGCTGATGATCACAAGGCGCAAGTGCCTTGGTGAAGATATCAGCAGTGTTGGCCTCAGAGGCCACGTACGCAAGCCGCAGCTGACCACGCTGCTGTAGCTCACGAGCAAGGAAGTAGCGGAGAGCAATGTGCTTCGTTCTGTGCTCCAGTCTCTGCTCTCGACACAAGGCCAGCATGGCCTTGTTGTCTACGTACAGCACTGGAGGAGAACGAGGCGGCTCTCCGAGGTCAGTCAGCAGGTAGGTGAGCCAGCGAAGCTCCTGTGCAGCCATGGCCCCGGCGTAGATCTCAGCCTCACAACTGGAGCCGAGAACAGAAGACGAGCGGGTAGCCCGCCACGAAACAGAGCCGGAACCAAGGCTGAAGGTGTAACCCTGTGACGACCGCTGCGTAGCCTGGTCGTCAGCCCAAGAAGCGTCTGCGTGCCCAGTGAGGACCACTGGACTCTGCCCTCCAAGCACAAGCCCCATGCCCGACGTACTGCACAAGTAGCGCAACACCCTCTTTGCTGCAGCCATGTGCTCCGGTCTGTGTCTCCCAGGAGCAACATAGCGTGCGAGAATGCTAAGAGGGTATGCAAGGTCAGGTCGTGTGCAGGTCATCAGGTACATGAGGCAGCCAACAAGCTCTGGGTACGGGCCACTCGACTCTACGGACTCATCCGAAGGCAGAGCTGAGAGCGAGTGGCGAGTAGGCAGAGGAGTGGCCTGAGGCGAGGAGTACGTGAAGCCGAAGCGCTGAAGGACCTGCTGCACCATGTGTGACTGAGTCAGGGTAATGGTGCGGCGTGCTCTGTCCCGAGTGATCTGCAAGCCAAGGTAGCTGCGCAGTTCACCCAGGTCTGTGCACGTGTGTCTCTTCTGCAGCTCGGACTTCACGTGGGCGAGTCCAGCAGTGTCAGCTGTGGCAAAGACCAAGTCGTCGACGTACACGAGGATGTAGAACGGCGGCAAAGAAGTGTCGGTGCGCAGAAACAGCGACGGGTCGGCAGTAGAGGGAGCAAACCCAAGAGCCGCAAGTGTAGTCCTCAGTGTGTCGTGCCACTCACGCGGTGCCTGGCGGAGACCGTAGACTGGCCGCCGGAGGCTCCACTGGGTGCCAGGAGGAAAAGACCCAGTGAAGCCAGGTGGGCGACGCAGCCAGATCTCCTCGTGCAGGCTGCCCTGCAAGAAAGTAGTGCTGAAGTCAAGAGAGTGCAGCTCGTAGTCGCGGTGAGCAGCTATGTGCAGCAGTACCCGAAGAGTGGTCATCTGCGGGGTGGGAGAGAAGGTCTGAAAGTAGTCAACTCCCTGCCGCTGACTGAAGCCACGAGCCACGTAACGCGCCTTGAAGACAGGCGGAGAACCCGGCGGCCGCTTCACCCTGAAAATCCACATGCCACTGACGATGTTCGCCCCAGGCGGGGGAACCTCGTCAACGTAGGTGCCTGTGGACTTCCAGGAAGCCATCTCTGTGTCCATAGCTGCCTGCCACTGAGAGGAGTAGGGACCCTCTATCGCCTCCGCGTAAGAGCGCGGAGTCGGGATGTCAAGTGCATCCGGGTCTCCCTCAGGGGTAAGCACTACGGACACGAGATGAGGTGAAGCAGCAGCCAAACACTGGAACTCCTCCTGCCTGTCCTCAAGGACGTCCGTGCCAAGGGCACACTCACCCCCGACGGACGGAGGACAGACAGACTCAGACTCAGCGACAAGACAAGCAGCGTAGTCTAGACGACAGTGAGCAGCAAAGTCGACGAGCTCAGCAACTAGGGCAGACGCAGCAGTGGACGCAAAGGAAGGGTCAGTGACGACAGTAGCAAGGAGACGCGTGACAGTAGGACTGGCAGCACGAAGAGAGTCCGACTCCGGGTCGGGAAGAGCAGGAAGAGAGGACTCAGGAGGAGAAGGCAAAGGGGCACGCAGAGGAGTAGTGGACGGACGCAGAGACATCCGGTGCGTGCCAGGGACAGGAGGAGGACGCTGACGCGAACCACGACCACTAGCGCGAGCAGTACGGACAGGCGACGCAGGACGCGACGCAGGCTCACGACGCTCGGCAAGACCTCCAGTAGGACCAGTGTAGGGAGAAGGAGCGGGCAGTGGGGAGGCCGGCTGTAACCGTAACTGTGACAGGACAGGCTGTGGACACTCTAAGGGAGGAGGAGGACCAGTAGAAGGCGGGAGACCAAGAACCTGCTGAAGGAGCGGAACGAAGTACGGCCGAGGCCGCGCGGCGACTCCAGACACAGCAGGGACAGCACCAGTACCCCCAGCGGCAGCACCAGCGCCAGCAGCACCTCCAGCTCCAGTACCTCCAGCAGCACCAGGAGCACCTCCAGCAGGACCGCCTCCAGGACCGACAGCAGTAGCCTCAGCGTCAACACCCTCAGCAGCTCCAGCTCCAGTCGTACCCGTAGGCCCAGCAGCTCCAGTACTCCCAGTACGAGCACCTCCGGGACCCGCGGCACCAGCACCCTCAGTAGCCGAAGAACCTCCAGTACCAGCAGCACGCCTCCAGCGCCGGGCAAACCACTCGCGCAGCTCCTGTGGAGAGAGTGGCTCCCGCCGAGACGAAGCACCCGGAGAACCTCCAGGCTCAGCACCGCCAGACGCCACACAAGCAGGCCCAGCTCCCTCAGGCTCCGCACCCCCAGGCTCAGCACCTCCAGGCGTAGCACCCCCAGGCTCAGCACCCCCAGGCTCAGCACCCCCAGGCTCAGCACCCCCAGTAGTAGCACCTCCAGGCTCAGTACCCCCAGGCTCAGCACCCCCAGTAGTAGCACCCTCAGGCTCAGCACCCCCAGGCGTAGCACCCACACGCTCAGCACCCCCAGAGTCAGCACCCCCAGGCTCAGCACCCTCAGCAGCACCAGAGTCACCAGTAACCTCGACAGGCTCGACTGCGTCTACCTGGGACACACCTGAAGGGGCAGGACCCTGAGGGGGGAGGGGGTCTACCGGGGGGGGACCTGACACAAGGAAGAGCGGTGGTGGGGGGAGGGACGGAGTGCGGTAGGGGAAGAGGCGGTAGTAGGGGACCGACTCGTCAAACGTGACGTCCTGGGAGGACAGAACACGGCGAGAGGTGGGGTGGTAGAACTGCCACCCTGGCGCGTCAGGGGGGAAGCCAAGGAAGACGCAAGGAGCAGCACGAGGGGACAGCTTGTCCGCAGACAAGTCGCGGACAAACGCCCGAGATCCCCAGACACGGAACGCAGACGCATCGCCAACCTTCCCCGTCCACAGCAAAGCTGGGGAGGTCTCCGGCCAGGAGACCCTAGGGTGAAGGTTGATCTGATGCGCCGCGTACCGAACCGCAAACGGCCACAGAAAATGGGGGGCAGCCGCATGCATCATGGACGTACGGGCGACGTCCATGACCATGCCAATGCGGCGCTCAGCAATCCCATTTTGCTGTGGAGAGTCCGGAAGCGTGAAGGTCTGGCGGATGCCTCGTGCACGACAGTAGGCTCGCAGAAGGCCAGAG